TATATATATATAATTTGAAATGAAAAAATTGCTGTTTTTTCAAAATACTTTTTGCTGCCAAAAAGATTAAAATTCCATGTTGTCGACAAAGGATTAATATATTTACAGTATTAAATTTTTCTAAACGGGAAATGTTGTATTGTAAATAAAACAATGTTTCAATGTAGACGTCAATAAGTACAATCTCTATAAATATTACAAATATTACCTGTTTCCAGCTACTTCTTCCTTCCTTTGTTATATATATTGCATGTTGATCTAATCTGTTGGATAACCGATTCGCGTAAATTAAAATAATTAAGTAATCACGATTGATTTGATCACAATTCCGAATCTATCGAAATTCGAAATGACGAATGGCGATGAAGCGACAGATTTCAAAAATTAGTGTTCAGAAATCCATCAAAAACATCATCAGTTTGTCCAGAAAAATTTTCTGGGGATTTTTCAGAAAACAAATCCTATTGGATATTGTATATTCGAGAGCTTGATGGTTTTGACCGGTCGTAGATGTCGTAAGGTCTATTCATGTTCAAAATTTTTGAACTTAAAATAAGAAAGATATATATTTAAGCATTGAAGAGAGAGAAAGCGAATACGCTAAGCGTAAAAAGTACAAGTAACGCGAACAAATCATAAATTAATTGCTTAGGAACACTAGGATTTCTTCCCGCGAAAAAGTGCAACCATTTGTAACTGCCGAGTGCGCGAAGTGCAATTCGAAGGGGCAAGACGCGATCGCGCCGTTTCGAAATTTTGAAATCGCGGTCAGTTACTGACAGACGCATCATGCTGATTGCATCGGTTCAAATCGCTTCGCGTTTTTTGTGATCGAGAGACTATTTCAACCTTGACGGATCGTCGAAAAGTGTTCTGCGAGGTATACATCACGACACAGACATTGCCGACCACGAAGTTGACGATCCATCGTTGCTTTGAGCCTCATCCGAGCTCCCCAAACTTCCCGCTCCGAAAACTATTTCGCGTCATGTCGTACAGCTCTCTTTGATCCGTCATCGTTCTCTTGCCGAGAAACATCGAGATTGCAACATGGCCAGGTATGTATAACGCATATCTTGATTATTAGTTGCAATGCGCAGCTGTTTTTTACAACATTAGAATATACATATAAACTTTAGAAATGCACGTAATGGCGACAGCCGCCATTTCGAGATTTTACGGCATCCCATTAATTTACGAGCGCAGAAATAATTTTTATTGCGTCTTTATATCGTCTAATATTGATAGCAAAATTGAATTATGACTACTGATAGAAATACTAATAATATAGGAATATATATGCATTATAAAAGAGATTGAGAGATATTATTATTGTTGTCGGAATTGAAAAATATTTTCGCGCGACGATTTTGATTGCGAAAATGCTCAGTGTGTCAATATGAATTTTGTTTCCTCATTGCTGTTATTCTCTATCACGTTCTCTTCTGGCTTTATGTTTAAATCTTTAATAAACTCATACCAATTTATCCCTTCACCGCAGTCCGGTTCTTTCTCTGATGCCCACCAAAGTGCCGTCTGCAAATAATGAATAGTTATGCCTCAGGAGATTTATCTCCTGTCTTATATTTAAATTTTTCTTTTTTATCCAAGTTTTTCCATTAAAAAATAAAATAAAGTTTAACTAGCACAAATACAATCTTCAACAATATCAGAAAATATAATAAAAAAATATATAATAAAAATATAATATATAGTAAATAATATAATAAAAGAATGTATGGAAAAAGATGATGAATTAATAACATAAATCTAATTGAAAATAATTCTTTTGATTTAATATTAATAAAACGAATACATCATGTTCTGATTTTAATAAAATATTATTTGTTTTATATTAATAATGTAATTAATTTAATAATATTATCTTAATTAGACTAATGCTATTAATTCGATATTATTTCTTTTTCCACGTAGAAATATAACAATGAGTGAACATACTTTCACGTTCACGGGTTCAGTGGGTGGCAGGGGATCGATTTTCACGTTCATGAACCGCAACAGGTCGTTGTAGTCAATTGTACCGTCTTCAGCTTTGTGCAAACTTATAGGAATCATAATGAGTTATAATCGATATCAGGTAAAATGCCTTTGATTGATTAAGTCATAAATTTTGTCCGAACTTACTGATCCAGCATGGAATTCAACAATTCCACATCGACAGGAATCCTGCAACCACGAAGAATTGTGTACAGAGATCCCCGAGATAAAAATCCAGTTCTATTTTCATCCCAATAATGTAAATCCTCCTCCAAGCGCTCAAGATCATGCCATAGAAATCGGTTTAATTCCATGTGCAGCAAACATCTAAAAATAATCATCGATTTGATTATTACACTAACTATTTTAACTATTTATAACATAGAAATTGTTAATATCCTAACAATGGAAAATATATAAGGATTATCAATGGGAATAAAAATTTAATTATAAGAATTCCTTATATAAAAAAATTCCTTCGCGTTTATTGTGTATACTGTTTACAATTTAGAGAAATAATAAGTCTTGACTTATATTTTCTAACATCTTAAATCAAAGAAATTTTATAGGAAATATAAGTTAAAACTAGCTATTTCTCTGAATTGTAAACAGTAACGAAATGTCAAGGATTTATATAAGAAAGCTTTATATTTTTTTAAATCCTTAATTTCTGTCGGCATTCTTACTTTTTTTCCACTGTTTCACGATAATAACAACAACAACAACAACAACAATAACAACAACAACAACAATAACAATAACAACAATAACAACAACAACAACAACAACCACAACAATAATCTCTTTTCTCGTGTCTACGATGCTAGAAGTTACTCCAAGATCTCGAACGGAGAAAAATTGATTATTGGTAATTGCATTGATCAATTGATCGAATCATTTAAATGTAATTTGTTAATTTTTTCTCTGAGATATCGAAGATTTCTAGCATTGGAGACACATGATTTCAGATTAAGAGATTCACATACCTCACATACTCTCTCGATAGCTGTTCTATTTTCTCGGGAGATGAATAATGTCGAGCAATTGTGATCATTTCGTGTTCCGTTATCTTGTCTCCCATATAGCGGCGCAATGCCTCCCTACAAATATAATTTTAATCATAATAAATACGAAGATGACGCGGAAGGAAGGATATAAATATTTCACACCTACTTGAGCTTTACGTATTCTAAACTTCGAGTATCGTCTTTGGTGTCTTCAGGTGGGGCGTACAGTTGAATGAACTCTTTATAAACGGGCTGTAAACTCTCTCGAAGTTTCTCCATTATTAATTTCTTGTTCGCTTTGGGATACTGCAAAGAAAGTTTATTCCTTCCTTAGTATCGCATACATAAACAAGTCAAGCTTGGATTGTAATTTTATTTATATTTATTGCAATATTTGGACAGAACTTTTTTGTGAAATGGCTATAATTTGTTTAACAGATAATATAGAAACGCACCTTGTCGCAATGTAACTCCATATAACGGAGAGCATAAACATCTGCAGACGTAATTTCAAAATAAAAGTCGTACAGGTTTAAGCGTGCTCCTATATAAAAATCGTGTGATTTGTAGTATTCCGGTTTCTTGCTTGTGAAAATATCTTGACCAGGTAACATTATTGGCATCCGTTTTTGGAATAAGGATCTCTGAAAGCCTGATTTAATTTTGCTATATTTTAATGTTATTCTAATATTTTGTTTCTATTTCAATTTATTCACTATATATTTCATTTAATATATGCAATACATTTACTACTACTATTAGCAGCCCATAGTCACTTATAAAAAAAATTAGTAAATCACATTTTTTGATGTTAGATATATTTGGAATAAATCTTTTGTCAATGTAATTTTTTCCAAATTTTTTATATTATGGTATACCTGAATTTCGTTTTGCCAATTCGAAAATAGAAATCGTATCGTCCATAAGGAATACTCTTATAATGAATTGTCTTTCTTCATGTTCTGGGATTTTTGATATCATTTTCGCTCGAAATCTGAAGACGTGACTATTAAAGCCCTGCCTGAAATGATAACAAGAAATAGAATT